GCATTGTGCCTACATATGCAAATTAACCGCCATCTTTGTTGGCAGTTAACCGCCATCTTAGTTGGCAGTTAATTTGCATATCTCCCTGATTAGCCAATGAAAAGGGTAGCGGTCGTACGCCAATTACCATGTTTCTCTTTTATTAGTGTAGATGGTATTTTCTATAGACTGTAGGGATTTTATGTGAAAAATATGTTCTTAGATTTAATTAGCAATAGCAAAGACACTTTGGTTATCTTAGAGTGAGGCACTGAGTCTGCAAGGGCTTAATGCTAATTATCTTATGAATCACCATTTTGATTTAAAGCATCTGTACACACAGGGCAGGCACTTCTGCTCAGTGCCTGAATGGCTGTGTTAGGTCTGCATAGAGGTGCTGCATGTTCCTGGGTTGGCTTCTCACAGCTCACAGCTCACAGCTCTCCTTGGTGCTTGGCAAGGGTGTGCAACTGGAACCTGAAAGAAGATGCTAATCATATTATCCAGTCTATAGTGGAATCACTTGAGGCTGCACACTGAGGCCCTCCCAGACAGAGGTAACTGCTTAAGGAAATGAGAATACAAGGAACTCTTACCTATTATGTCTTGATGGTCCAGACACACATACTGTATTCAAATGTAGTCTTGAGAAAAGATGGAGCAGTAAATATACATTCAAGGACCTCTATAGCCAAGGTATTTACTACCTAATGTAAAATTAGGGAAAAGAAATTGATTCAGAATAATGCAGTGGGATTTTTGTATTTTTTCTAATTAGGAATTTATTTAATTTTACATTAGGTAGAATCTCTAAAAATGAATACTAGCGAACACTAATTAAGCCCTTAAATATATGGCAGACACTGCTAAGTATTTTATATCTATTTTTTATTTTCATAACAATCCTTCAAGGCAGGCAGCATTACTAGTCTTATTCTACTTAAGTGAATAACAAAGCTTAGCCTAGCTAGTAAGTGGCTGATCCCACATTAACTACAGGCAGTCAAACCTCAGAGCCTGCACTCTAGACTCCATGCTGAAAAGAACAATAGCCCATGGATCCTGTCCCACACATAGATAGAGTTTTTTTGGCCCATGGTACTTATTAAATCATAATTCCTTTGGTGGGCAGAATAATACCCCCTGTTCAAAGATGCCCACACCCTAATCCCTGGAATCTGTATGTTACCTTAAAAGCAAAGGGATTTTGCAAATGAGAGTTCCTGAATGCACCCAATGTAATTATTAGGGTACTCAAAATTGGAAGAGAAGAAAGCAAAAGGAGATATGACGACTGAAGAAATCAGAGTGATATAACGACTCAACTCACCATTACTGACTTTGAGAAGCTGGAAGAGGCAAGCTACTTCCACGGAGCCTCCAGAAGAAATGCAGCCCTGCCAACTCCTTGATCCTGGTCTGGTAGCTAGGATCATTCTAGACTTCTAATCTCTAGAACTGTCAGATAATGAAGAAAGAGTGAAGATGGGGAATATATAAGATGGAGTCATTTTAACTAAGCTGCTAAAATTAACATGAAGTTTGAGGCATAAAAGATTCCATTCTTGTTCTAACCTGGTAACATAAACTTTTTTTTAACTTTTCAGTCCTGTGTCAATGCTTGGATTTACAAATGGACTGCTAGATAACCCTGTTTATCCCCTGAAGGACTCAGGTACCCAGACTACCTGATTACCCTCTGAAGGACTCATATACATCCACCTGACATCCATTATCCAGACCAGAGGATGTGACCAAACCTCCTGGCATCCATCACCCTGACTGCCCTGACATATGACTGATAATCATCCTGGATCAGTTGTAAGGCTAAGAATGCAGGACTGATAATTTTCAAGAATGTACTTTTTATTATAAGAATTTAACCTTTCTGCTTTGGAACACTTTTTTGCCTTGCTGTGTTCCTAGCTTGCAAACTCCAAGACCCTTGAATAAGTCCTTATCATTTATTTCTAGCCAAAGCCTCCAGGCTCTTTTTGAGTTCCTTCAACAATAACAAATCTGTGTTTTAAGCCACAGATTTTGTGGAAATTAGTTATTGCAGCAATAGAAAACTAATACATATGCTAATATATAAATGTTGAATGATTTCACATAAAAATATTGAAAAACAAATCTAGTGATATCAAAGATGCAGCTGCTCCCCTTTAAACAAAAAATTTATTTCTCGGGAGAGAAAAAATGGCGAAGGTATAGACGACGTGTCCCGTGCCTTGTCCCGGAGCTGTTAGGGTGAACAGCTGAAGCGGGTAACATACAGCCCGAATAAGCAGAGGATATTCAGCTGAGAGACAGTTTGCAGCCGGGAACGGCGGAGGAATCCTTGAGAAAGCGGATTGAAAGTTGGAGACTGCAGCTGAAATCTCTCCCAGATCGCCAGCTCAGCCGTGGAGACCGCGCCATCTTGAGTGGCTGTTTTTTGGAAACGTATACTGTACACCCAAAGACCCGGCATCCAGAGATCGGCTGCTAACCCGGAGACACCGGATCTGGGATGGCGCAAACACAGCAAGGCAAAAAAGTGTTCCAAAGCAGAAAGGTTAAGTTCTTATAATAAAAAGTACATCCTGCTTCTCACGGAAAGATCCAAGCAACAGCAGCCTCCTGATCACCACACCCTCTGTCTGAGGAACAGCAGCTGTACGTGAAGCCTCCCCCAACCAGCCAGAAGCTGGAAACTAATGACAATGAAAACACAACAATCCAAAACCTTTGGGACACAATGAAAGCAGTCCTGAGAGGGAAGTTTATAGCTCTACAGGCCTACCTCAACAAACAAGAAAAAATGGTAGTAAATCATCTAAATCTACAGCTCAAAGAATTAGAAAGAGAGCAACAAGAAAAGCCCAGAGTGAGCAGAAGGAAGGAGATAATAAAGATTAGAGCAGAAATAAATGACATAGAGACCAAAAAAACAATACAGAAAATCAATGAAACCAAGAGCTGGTTCTTTGAAAGGATAAACAAGATCGACAAACCTCTAGCCAGGCTCACCAAAAAGCAAAGAGAGAGGACCCAAATAAACCAAATCAGAAATGATAGAGGCGAAATAACAACAGACCCCACAGAAATACAAATGATTGTTAAAAAATACTATGAACAACTCTACTCCAACAAACTAGACAACCTGGAGGAAATGGACATATTTCTAGAAAAATACAACATTCCAAAACTTAATCAGGAAGAATCTAAAAATCTCAACAGGCCAATAACTATGGAAGAAATTGAAGCAGTCATCAGAAAGCTTCCAGCAAACAAAAGCCCAGGACCAGACGGCTTCACAGGGGAGTTTTACCAAACATTCAAGGAAGAACTAAAACCTATCCTCCTCAGACTACTACAAAAAATCCAAGAGGAAGGAACACTTCCAAGCTCATTCTATGAAGCCAGCATCACCCTAATACCAAAACCAGGTAAAGACAACACAATGAAAGAGAATTACAGGCCAATATCCCTCATGAACATAGATGCCAAAATCCTCAACAAAATCTTAGCAAATCGGATCCAGCAGTACATCAGAAAGATCATACACCATGACCAAGTAGGATTTATCCCAGGGATGCAAGGATGGTACAATATCCGCAAATCAATCAACGTGATACATCACATAAACAAATTGAAGGAAAAAAACCACATAGTCATATCAATTGATGCAGAAAAAGCATTTGACAAAATTCAACACCCATTTTTGATAAAAACTCTCAGCAAGGTGGGAATAGAAGGATCATACCTCAACATAATAAAAGCCATATATGACAAACCCACAGCCAACATCATACTCAATGGACAAAAACTAACACCATTTCCCCTAAAAACAGGAACAAGACAGGGATGCCCACTCTCACCACTCCTGTTCGACATAGTACTGGAAGTATTAGCCATTGCAATTAGACAAGAAGAAGAAATAAAAGGCATCCAAATTGGAAAAGAGGAAGTAAAACTGTCCTTATTTGCAGATGACATGATATTATACTTAAAAAACCCTAAAGACTCCATCAAAAAACTATTAGACTTAATAAAAGAATTCGGCAATGTAGCAGGATACAGAATTAACGCCAAGAAATCTATGGCATTTCTATACACCAATAGTGAACTTGCAGAAAGAGAGACTAAAAAAGCAATCCCATTTACCATCTCACCAAAAAAATTAAGCTACCTAGGAATAAACTTAACTAAAGAGGTAAAAGACCTCTACTCAGAAAACTACAGGACGTTGAAAAAAGAGATAGAGGAAGACATAAAGAGATGGAAGAACATACCATGTTCTTGGATTGGTAGAATCAACATCATTAAAATGTCCATACTGCCCAAAGCAATCTATAAATTCAACGCACTTCCCATTAAAATACCAACGGCATATTTCACAGACCTAGAACGAACTCTCCAAAAATTCATCTGGAACAAAAAACGACCCCGAATAGCTGCAGCGATCCTGAGAAAGAAGAAAGTAGGTGGGATCTCAATACCAGATATCAAGCTGTATTACAAAGCCACTGTTCTCAAAACTGCCTGGTACTGGCACAAGAACAGACATATAGATCAATGGAATAGAATAGAGAGCCCAGAAATCAGCCCCAACCAATACGCTCAATTAATATTTGACAAAGGAGGCAAGAACATACAATGGAGTCAAGACAGTCTCTTCAATAAATGGTGCTGGGAAAATTGGACAGATACATGCAAGAAAATGAAACTAGACCACCAACTTACACCATACACAAAAATAAACTCAAAATGGATAAAGGACTTAAATATACGACCGGAAACCATAAAAATACTAGAAGAATCCAAAGGCAACAAAATCTCAGACCTATGCCGAAGCAATTTCTTCACCGATACAGATCCTAGGGCATTGGAAACTAAAGAGAAAATAAACAAATGGGACTACATCAAAATAAAAAGTTTCTGCACAGCAAAAGAAACCATCAACAAAACAACAAGAAAGCCCACTACATGGGAGAACATATTTGCCAACATTATATCTGATAAGGGCCTAATCTCCAAAATTTATAGGGAACTCATACAACTTAACAAAAGGAAGATAAACAATCCAATCAAAAAATGGGCAAAGGATCTAAATAGACACCTTTCAAAAGAGGACATTCAGAAAGCCAAGAGACATATGAAAACATGCTCAAAGTCACTAATCATCCGAGAGATGCAAATCAAAACAACAATGAGGTACCATCTCACACCTGTCAGACTGGCTATCATCAACAAATCAACAAACGACAAGTGCTGGAGAGGATGTGGAGAAAAAGGAACACTTGTGCACTGCTGGTGGGAATGCAGACTGGTGCAGCCACTATGGAAGACAGTATGGAGTTTCCTCAAAAAACAAAACATGGAACTCCCATTTGACCCTGTGATCCCACTTCTAGGAATATATCCCAAGAAACCAGAAACACCAATCAGAAAGGATCTATGCACCCCTATGTTCATAGCAGCACAATTCACCATAGCTAAGATTTGGAAACAGCCTAAGTGCCCATCAGTAGATGAATGGATTAGAAAACTGTGGTACATCTACACGATGGAATACTATGCTGCTGTAAAAAAGAAGGAACTCTTACCATTTGCAACAGCATGGATGGAACTGGAGAGCATTATGCTAAGTGAAATAAGCCAGTCAATGAAGGAAAAATACCACATGATCTCACTCATTCATGGATAATAAAGACCATTATAAACTTATGAACAAAAATAGATACAGAGGCAGAGCTGCCTCAAACAGACTGTCAAACTGCAGCGGGAAGGCCGGGGAGGGTAGCGGGGCAGAAGGGGGGGGTGGTTAGAGATCAACCGAAGGACTTATATGCATGCATATAAGCATAACCAATGGACATAAGACACTGGGGGGTAGGGGAGGCTAGGGGATTGTCAAGGGTGGGGGAAAAAAGGAGACATGTAATACCCTTTGTAATACTTTAAGCAATAAAAAAAAATTTATTTCTCATTTCACTGCAGTCCTTACCCCTTCCTTTTGTCTATACCTGACCTACTATTCTCATCAACATGACCTACCTAGTCCTTCTAGGTACTTGGGTTTTAGAACCCTGCCCTGAGCTAAACTGTCTCCCATATAGTAATCAAATCTTATCCTTTAAAATACAAGCAAGTAAATCCAGCCTCCCTAAAATGATTAACTCTGTCAATTATAACAATCCTTTTGTTTGTATAATGTGACCTAGGATTAATTAGTTACTTCTCTGAAAAACGGAGGAAAACGTATAGTACTTGCCCGCTATGGCTGTTTTGAGGACATAACAAGACACTAAATGACAAATGCATTCTCCAGTGTCTGGCACATGGTAAACTAAATAAAACACAGCTGTAATTAACATAATGTTGCCTGTGCTGCTGTTGAACATTGGAGTTGTTTCTAATCTTTGGGAAGTAAAACTTCTGAACGCATCACTTTTTGTCCAATTATTGCCTGATGTCAAGTTTCTTGGAAGCACAACCAACACCTTCTACCTGTTCATAGGAATCC